AAGGGGAACATCCTGCTAGTTTTAAAAAGGTGAATGTAGCACTTCACCACTTACCAGACTAACAAGGTGACAGGCTACACTTGCAATCCCAGACATTTCCATTCCCCTGAAGATGGCTGGTGATCTGCCACTTCACCGACGGGGAGATTTTCCTCTTTTAAAGGTCTTCAGCAGCTAATCTGCAAAGGGACTGCAAAAAATAAATGAAACCAGTTGAAAAGTTGCATAAAGAAGCTCAATAAATTGGGGTGTGGCGAGTTCTGTGCAGTGACGTTACAAGCGATGCTGGTTACAAACAACACAGGGTGTCCTCAGAGAAAATAAAACTGAGGGGATCACGACTGAGTTCGTGTTTCAGGACCTCATCTCTGTGTCACAGTAAATTCCTCAGCAAAAAGGAAAAGCAGAGCCATTGTCAGATCCAGAGCGAAGATGCTCTGCGAGCAGCTTTTGAGACAGGACAATTTTCTGCGCTAATTTTAGAGACGTATTGCCACGATGGGCATTTAACACCGGCAAAGTGTTCTTTGTCCTGCTTTTATGGCCCCATCAATCGGAGTGAGACAGCATCGCCCCTCTTAATGGGCAACTATTAAGGGGTTCGTACCCATCAAGGTAGTTTTATTTGATTTAACAGCTGTTTGATAAAGACCTCGGTTTTATCGTGCACTTTTGGACTGTGCTGCATCCAGCCACCACAGACAGGTTGGGAGGGAAGATGAAAGCAAGCTCCTGAGCAAAGCTTTGCTTTGATTTCCACCAAAGAGCTTGTTGTGAAAAACAATTTGTGTTTCTGAACGGAACTCACGGTTTCAAGCCGAGTATTTTGCTTTTTGACAACCACTGTTAGGTAGCGACAGCAGAATTTCTAATTTCCCATGCTGCCAAGCAAACAGGGTTTGTTTAACATCTGATATTTCTTTAGCTCAACTTCCAAAAGTAATTTCTTTAAGAGGTATTAAATCAAGACTTTTTTTTTTTTTTTTTATTTCTTGGAAACCTTTTCTGCAAAATGGGGTTTATGCAGGCTATTGTAAAACACTGTAGGGGAAAGTGCATATAAAAGTATAATATATTCTCTCTACTGATCATGATCTGAGAGCTAAAGTGTGTTTGAAACATTGTGTTTTGCAATCCAGTCTATGTGATGAGTGATAAGCGATATAGTCATAATTAACAGTAGCGATAAATAAAATGTATTACATTCTGCACAGCCCTATTTGCATTGCAAAAATCCCTATTTAGATTACAATGAACTCTAAATTACAGAGTAAACAAGTTTTGGCTACATCCTGAGGCCCAGCAGGGAGGAAGGTATCGTTTGCCACCCCAGCAGAGGAATGCTGTTTACATCCAACTGGACAGTCCTCAG